GAGCTTTTTTGGGGTGCCTCTTTCTATTTTTGGGATTTCCAGAGTTTCTTTTGGAAACCGTTTGGCTTGGAGCCACAGAAAGTTTACCAAACCTTCTGAAAAATTTGTCATTGACAGTAAAGAGCCATTTGAAATAGCTTTCCTATTTCAAATAGCAATTTCAAATAACTTCCTTGAGTTATTCAGCTCTGCAGATGCAGTCTTAAGTGCTTTGATCTGTGTTGGTCTGACCTGCTAATCCCAATTACATGATCATGCACAGCACCATTGCCTTTATCAGCATATGGGCACTGAGTGCTGGACCTGTGCTTCTGCTCTCAATGGGCACTGAGTGCTGGACCTGTGCTTCTGCCCACCCACTTTTCCCATGCCCACTTTTCCAAGAAGTATGAAAGGCTGAAAGCACCCTCAACAAGGAATGTATCCACCTGCTAATAGGATCAGCCCTTGCATTTTCAGTCATCTTTCTGGAAAACAACACGTACAAGGTCTCCCTTATGGGTAAATGTGTTCTCATGTCCCTGAGGATCTTGTTGTAAGTCACCCATCTGAGCCTTGGGGAGTCAGTGGGGAGTCAGAAGTGGCACCAGCCTGGAGTCTGCTGTCTAACACATTCCCTGGCACAGGGAAGAGAGAGAAAGCACAAAAAGTCCATACACCCAATGGAGTAAATTCATCATCCCACTGATGGCTGGATTTGCTTGATTCTGTTGTATTGTTATTGGCTTCCTTAAACTGCAGCACTTTCCTCTGAATTTCATTCATTTCTTGACTGATATTGTGCTCAAAACATTTGTGTTTCTCCAGATTGAGGCACCTAATGTAAGTTATATGTCTCTAGTCAAAAAGGAGTTATATACTGATGCATTGTCAGGGCCCAAAGTTTAAGGTGCTTTTTGAAAAACTGGTCTTTAGTAAGCTTTCACATTTTCTTGTATCATTATCGTCTGATGCTCCTCTAGGAGGGATGTGCTGAGCTTGTTAGTAACTATTTACCTTATAGGATAGTTCATGCACTGGCAGAGAACAACTAAGACTCAAGTTAGAGGCGGTGATTTTAGATGTTTTTGGAGACTTAAATTCAGATTTCTAGGTGCAGGCAGCACTGAAATGAGAAGATGTATGAACATTGAAATCCAGCATCTAGGATATTAACAATATGGAGCTCTCCTTGAAGTAAAGTGCACACTTAGCATGCGCAAAGCTGTATTATTTACTCCAGAAAGATCGTGCTGCAAGTTGATGACGCACCTTCCTTCTCCTCATTACTTCTCATTTTCTCTCTCTATCAAGGCTCTCCAATCTTGTAAGTTATTTACATATCCTCTGCAAACTTTGACTATCCTTTTCTCTTGGTCATGCTCTTTTGCACAATGCTTTTGGCGCATTTCATCCAGTTGACTTCAACCCTCTGCCTCCAGTGCATACAAGCAGTGACGGTGCGATTCTCTGCTGCCTTTATTGACACCAACCATAACCCGACACAGCTGGTGTCTGCTGGCCTGGGATTTTCCGCAGGCTCCTGCGGCAGAGCAGGTTGCAGACCGATTGAGACATGTTTTGGTGGTTCAGCCAGGTTTGCCACAAGGGGGGGTGAAGAACAGAAACCAGCTGTGGAAATTTACTGACTCTCTGAAGATCTCATGACTTCTTGCTAAATCTGAAAATTCCCGGTACAAGAAGAATAATTGTTTCTAAACCGCCTGTGCGGCCTTTCATCATTTATCTGAATATTGCATGGTCAGTGACATTTTTTTTGGGTCAGTGATAGACAACAATCCATCATTTGCGAAGGGATGGAAGATAAGGAATTTATCAGTCAAGACACGAGTTCCTAGTACAAAGAACTTCCACACAGATGGTGAATTTAAAATATATATATATTCAACAAATTAGCACATAGTGTGCCAACTCTTGTGAAATATGTGCACATTAGGAGTATGAGTGGGAGCAAATAAGGTTGTGAGGAATCTTTCTGTGACTTCTGTTTTCAAACAGTGATTTGCAAAGAAGTTTTTTTCTTGTTTTCTTTTTTTTTTTTAAAAAAAAGGTAAATATGTACGAGCTCTTTAAATCATCCAAAGTAGATCATGGTTATGACTAAGAGATAAGGAGGGATTTGTCTGTCTGACAAACTTCCCCTTTTCTTTAAGAGAAGGTTGGTGTTTTCAGAAGTGGTAAAATGCCACTGAGTGCAAAATGCAGGGTATAGCATAAATTGGAGTTCTGCCAGTTCATGGGCTGAGCAAAAGCTGTTGAAATGCAAGATGCTCCAAGGCCCACTTCTGTATCCCGCAGAAGAAAAGCCTCCAGTGATGTCTCTAAGCAAAGCTCTCAGTCTCCAGCCCACAAAAGATCAATGTAAAGCCTACCACAAAGTCAGTAGGAATTTTGCTGTTAGGATAACTAATGTTCCTAGACATCTTTATACTAGACCATATCATCTACCCATCGGAATTAATGGTGTTTATTTAAAAAAATGAGGAGGGGAGAAAGAGAGGAAAAGAAAAAGCCAGGAGAAACCAAAGAAAAATGCCCTGAGTCTGTGTTGTACCTTCAGGCAGGGCACAAACTGAATCTGAAATAATGTAATTTCTAAATAAGCCATGGCTAGAAGTAGAAACTGCAACGGTGATGAGACCACCAGTGCAGTCAACTCAAGCAGCATTAAAGGCAATAGCCAGCAGAGCCTGCAAAGCTCCTTCAGCGCACACTGCAAGGCCCTGATAGTGCCAGTAACGCTGGGCAGGCTGGTTTTGCTTTAATATTTTTGATATGGCTTTGTAAAGACCAGGGACTGGCTCACTTGCAGCCATACTGAAGTCATGCAGAGCAGGAGATCTGCCAATTTAGGACTGCTTCTGGGGCTGGAGATAAAGGGACAGGGTAAGAAGCTGTGTATGTTCCATGTGTTATTCCCTATAGCAGGGTCGATTTTCTAAGCCTTTGCTGGGGCACCACTGTATTGAAATACTAATTCAAATACTAACAGAGCTGTAGCAATTTAGGTCAGGAATATGATGTTTGCAGGTGGATAATTGGCTAACTGGATAAGGATAATCTCCTGTTATGCACAGCCAAAAACTTACTTCTGTACGGCATTTAGGGCAAGAAACAACATATTGAGATTTGACATACTGAAAATTCTCTGGACCTGTCCAGAGAATGGGTAAATAAGATTAATCCCAAAGACTCCAAGAAGATTTTAAAAACACTTAAAACGAAACCCATGGAGAAAAGCAGACACATTAGAGGCAGCAAGATTGCAGCCCCATACGTCATATAAAATGAATGCAGTTCATCATGCTGAATTGTTCATGCTCAGACCATATATGTTCAGCTCTTGACAAAGTAATCTCTTTACAAAGCTACATAATGCAGCGGAGTCAGCTCAGAACGAGTTATAAACAAAGAAGCTATTCAGCTGTCAAAGCAATTTTCAGCTATATTAAAACAGAATGGGCCGGGGTGGATTCTGCCCAGCCTTGTGCTGCGCGCTGTCCCGGGGAGCCGGTGGCCTCGCCTGTGTGTGAATCGCGTGGCGAGAGGGCGTGCGTGCGCGCACGGGCGGCCGCCCACGCAAACACATGTGCACACACGTGCGCAGCGTAGCCGCCTGCCGCCCGCCCCGGCTCAGTGTCAGAAATCCCAAAATGCTTTATTGAAATTGCGATTTCGCTCGGCACATGGGGATGTCACCAAGTTCTGTCCGTTCCCGTGACGTGTTGTGTTTCCATGGAAACCCATGTACTTCGGAGAGGGAAAGGCAGGAGGAGACTTAAGAAAAGCAGAAAAATCAAGCAGAATAAGAGAAATACGCGGTGTGAATAGATCGTTTGGATCGTGGGGCTTTTAACAAAGTGATTTAGGCCTTAAGGCGGGGAGATGCCTTATTTATTTGTGGGTTTGTCCCTCCAGAATAATTCATATCCATTCAAATGTATGTCAATTGAATGAATGCAGCATCCTATTTCTTCCTATACACTATTCATCATCAGACTCTGGCTGCACTGGCGAGGCTGGGCTTCCAGCGCGCTTTCTGCTGACACATGACTTCTGCTGTTTGCTATGTCTCTGGTGTCATTAGCAGGTGTTTCCTATCTTCATCCCCAAACTGGGGAAGGAGGCAGGGCCTGGGAAACTACAGATTTCAACTAAGGTTCAATGAAATACCTGTCAAGTCTCCCATAAAAAAGCTGTGTATGATCTACCTCCCAAGGGGTAGGCAGGGCAGGGAGAGGCATGCTGGAGCTATTCTGTGATTTTTTTCCTTCTTAAAACGGCCAACTTGCCATTGAATCACTTAATCACTAATTAAAAATCCTGGATAAAACAAGCTGTCTACAGTTTTCTGGCAAACATCCCACTGACTTCGGCAGGGCCAAGATTTTACCCTTTCCTTGACTGTGTAGATTGTTTGTTTTCACTTCTTTTTCTTTAGCTGTTCTATGTGGTTTACGCCAGATTTTCTTCTCTAGATACATGTCTTCTTTTCCTTTTCTCAAATATTATCTCATTTCAGCTCCAGACTACAGGGTCTTAACATGATGGACCCCAAGAGGTAGTCCATGACCAGACTAGCTGTCTTTCACCAGCATCTTTTTCTGCTGTGACCTCAAAGAGGACAAGGAGTAGATGTGAGGGAAATAGGGATTTCAACACCTAAAAGCCACCACGAGCACTGCTGTGCAGGCACAAACTCAACTTGCAAGTCCTCGTTGCCAGAGCTAGATGGTGCTTACGAGAGTCCCTCAGCTGGTATCTGACCAGCTGGAAAAGGGATGGGCCACTGTAGCCTAGAGCATCAGCTGTTTCACCACCCAGGGCTGAATGCCAGGAGCAGAAACAAAATCCTATATGTGTGTATCCTATGTGTGTAAATGCTGTTGGTAACAGGGCAATATTCCTGTTCTGTTTGTGCAAATACTTTGGTACGTGTTTCTCCTGTCTTCCACTTTTGTATTTATTTACAGTCACATCCTCTGTAATTTTGCTTTCAGAGTTTGCCTTAGAAGAGACTTGTGCCATTTTTGCCTGGAGCAGAATAACTCTACGATGCACCGCTGCTGGCTGCTTGCTTGAAGGTAGGGATGTGCCAACAAACTCTGCTTCCTGGGGGTTTCCTGGCAGAGTGTGCTCGACTTTCTGCTGTGTTCTTCATGAGAAGCCACTCTTGGTCACACACAGGCCATGTATGAGGGGCCTGAGCCAACAAAAATTGCCAGGACCTACTGCATTCTTCAAAGCTTAGGGCAGCAGAGTACAAATCAACAGCAAACACCCTAATCCCTTACCAACACATTGGGTGGCAAAACCCACAGCAGTTGCCTGTAGTGTTGACGTGATTCAAGCCCATACTGCTTCATTTATCTTTGTGAACCCAAAGCCATGGTATCTAACAGTATTGACAGTTAACAGTCTCATTTGCTGGTTCATCAACAAATTAGAAGAATAAAAAGAAACTATGTGAAGGGAGATAGGACTTTGCTGAGCAGCTCTAATCTTGGTTGTTTTCCTTGGCTTTAAACTTTGAATTTTACAAGTTATATGTTAAGTGCTCGGCTCCGCTTCTTTGTATCCAGAGAGAAAGAAATGGTTTGTAAAAAATGTTCTTTGTGGGTAACGTAGAATTTTTCTCATCTGGGGAATCCATCAGTGAGAATGTTTACTGTATATTTATGAGACCCCTTGCAGATCTTTAGACTAGGCTTTCAGATGTTAATTCTCTCAGAATTTTTATTGCTAACATTTATTCTTCTTTTAATGGTGAGCTCTCAGAACAATGCAGAGGGCTCTGTTCAAACTCCAGGAAAATCTTGTATCATTCTGGGTTTGCAACTGGGCTCCACACAGGACTCAGCAAGATTTCATTCAGCCTTTTCTATAGTTCTCTAGGGGTGCAGGGAAAATTGCTCTTGGCTTTAATGTTCTGTATTAGTTAGTCTGTGATTTGCTTGTTCCAAGATGTTGGGTATTATTTTTGATACTATGTCGTCTGTAAAGCAACACTGAGTGCAAGAGAGTGACAGAGCATCTCTCGTGCTACTGTTGATTCATTGCATGTACTTCTGTGAGATAGTGAAATACTGGGGTCTTGTCAAAACTGCTCATTTCTAGATAGTAGCTAATATCTAAATACTAGATATGACGTAACAAGTTTGAAGGCCAGAAGGTAATGTTCAGGGGTAATGTCTGTACTCAAGAAAAAAAAGTAATCTGGAAGTCAATGTAACTTTACATGTGAGTGAGGAGAACTTGCATGACTGTAAGCTCAAGAATGGGCTGTTATTCAAGTACAATGATGAATGAGAAAGGTGAAAAAAACTTTTTTAAAAAGTCTGTGCAACCCAAATGTACTGTTTATCGTCCTTTTGTACCAAAATAAAGTTTGTGATGTACTCAGGGTTTTCCAGAGTCATCAACACAGTGCTGGTTTTTATCCTCTCGTCTTGCTGTTTCCTGACTTCCATTCCCAGGCTTTGGAATTTTTATGCTGTTTTTCCCCTTTTGCTCTTAATGAAATAACAAAATAAGTGTTTTGACCTCAGAGCCTTCTCCTCCACTAGAAGATTTAAAATTGCTAGGTGACAGTCAGCAGGAGATGATGATACTCAGTCTAATTTCCTTAGAAATGTTATAGCTGAAGTATTTATAATAACCAGTCTTTGTTGCTAGAACCTCTGAATGCCAAGACTCTGAAAGAGGTAGCTGAACCAGCAAGTTCTGGAAATATTTCCTAGATAGAAACTCAGGAGGAAGAGGAGCAGGGAACACCAGCAATGCAATTGTATAACTGAGGATGTAATTTTCAGCAAAGAACTTCCTTGTCAAGTTTAGTGTTTTTCTTTTGACAAATTGCTTGTGTAGAAGCTAAAGTTTTTCAGTCTCTGTGCTGTTCCAAATGTTAAGCTTCTGGTTTTCTTGATGTGGTTATTTTTTTGACATCGTTTAGTGGTGATGGGTCCTTGTTCGCATGGCGTGATTGGTCAGCTCAGTCATGCTTAATGACTTAAGCCTTATAAACTACTTTTGACTCAGACAAGTATCATTTGGTTGTTGGAAGGAGAGTGCCGCATTACTCAAATTCAGTGAAATTTACTTCTAATCAAAAAGTGTTGCCATGGTAGGAGTCAACAAGACTCAAACAGTGCATGATACTCCTGCTCGTTCGCTGGTCAGGGCTGAATCTTGCATGTAGCGTGTCTTCAGAATGGCAACCATGGGCAAATTTTTAGTGACGCGGCCATTCTCATAAGTAACTTGAATTGGATGAAAGGGAAGATCCATCTGATAATGATCTAACATATTCACAAATATTTTCTCTCTGTTTCTTTACCACTTGTCATCTGTCCCTTCTTTTCTTCCACTCCCTTTTATTTCTTCTTTAGTTTGTGTCTTGATGATGCCTGTTCTGTTCCCAGAGCTGATCTTTGCATTTATAGTAGATTGTTTTGAATATTATGAATCTACATATACAAATGCAGGTATACAAAGAGATTGCTTTCTTATGGAGGCTGATTTCTTTTACTAAGCAAGACTTGGATACAGAAGCCAGAGGCATGTTTGTGGTCAGTCAATCTGTACAGTTGCACTAAGCAACCTCATAATTCATGCTGTGAAGCACCTCTTGAGACTTGACCTGAGTCCTTACTGAATGATGGTTGCCTAACATTATGGTGGTGAGATGTTTTTCTTCTCCTAAGAGAAATTAGGGTGTATTCATTGATTGATTTTGTTAAAAATTTTCTAGTTTTCCGTAAGATCTTTATCACTGAGTAGCTCCTTCTTCAAGTGCATAGTGCCATCTCCCAAGACATTGCCTCTGTAGTATCTGCAGTTAGATTAAAAGCAGATTATGGTGCAGCTTGTTTTCTATGAACGTTTGTAAGTCAGCTGTTGAGAGAAGTTTCCCTGAACATACAAAATGTAGGTTTTTTCATCAGGAGGTGCTTTTGTTAAAGAATTGCCAGAGACAATACAAAATGAATCTTGTTTACAGTGTAATCCTGGTGCAAAATACATAATTTCTTTCTGGCAAATGAAGTGTTTGGCATCAGCGAGTATTTACATTTACATTGTTTTTTAAACTTCTGCTTGTGCTGGAAGGTAGGGTGAAATATTTCCTAGATGGCCAGACTGTTCCTAAGAAAAAATACATCAAGGAGCAGAAATTCAGAAACACTCTGTTTCAAAGGATGCTGCATGATCAATACAATTACACTGGGGTTTTACTGGATGTTCAGTGCACATCTTTCATTGTTTTTACAAAGGTTACGCCTCAATTTTGTTTATGTTTTATTTCAGAGCTTTCAATTTTGTGTTGTATCTGCAGTTGCATGAGCTACCTTTCCTCATGCTCCTGCTTTGACATATTCCTATCCACCCATGTTCTTAAGAGATTTTTTTCTCTGTGCACAAGAACAAGTGACAGAAGTTACTGTCGGTTAACTCATCACACTCTGTTGCTCTCTTATCTTAGCTCAAACCACTAAGTAAATATAAATAATATTTATATGTCATACCTCTTCATAACTGTATGTGCTTGTTATTTCCACTTTTCCTGGTACTTGGGTGTTCCTGGTGCTTGAGTGAGAAGAAATCACAAAACACTGAGAGAATGCTGGTGTATGTGAAAAAGCTTGCATGAACCTTGGTTCCAGGAAGAACATATACACATGCTGACAAAGGGCTCCTTATCTAAGAAATGCTTAAGAGAGTGTTTCTTAAATGAGAATGCTTCTCTGAAACTAAGCGTTTGTTTGCTGGGTTGTTGGTGGTTATTTTTTAATATTTCAACACCCTGCTGATAGCGTTGTGAAATCCTTGCTGGGCCTTAGCCAAGGAAATGAATAAACTTTTACTTGCTTAATGATTTTATAATTCTTCTATGTGAGATAAACTTGCCATTTGGTCATTTAACTTCTCTCCTGCATTTTGTGTACAAATACTATCTAATCTCATGGTGACTCCAAGTCTTTGAGACTTAAGTTCTTGCAAAGTTATCAAATACAGCAATCAGAACACGTTTGGACACTTAACAAAGTTCTCGTAATGTTTTCCACTAATATTTTTAGTATTATTAAACATAACTACTGTTGTATTATGAAATAACATTGAGCCCTTTTATATTCTGTGATGTAATTTTCCACTTTCCTATTTCCATTTATTAGTACACATTCCATTTAAAGTAGTCTTTCATTGCTCAGTGTGTGACATACTTCAGAGAAGAACTGAGATCTTCCAAATCTCCATCCCATAAACTGCAAAATAGTCCTTCTTTATAATGGCTAAGCAGCCCCTCAAATTCAATTGAAAAGTTAAGATCAGAAGTATTATGAAGTCACTGAAGACATCAAATTACTGAACAGGATTCCTTTAATTAGAAAAGGATTGAATAGGTACAAAAAACATTCCCTACACACTGCAGACTTTCTCGCTCTGTGATTGTTGGTATTATATTTCATGTTTTCAAGCATTCAAGTAATGGATACAAAATTGGAAGCAGGAGGAAAGGTATAGAAATCATACCTGGAGGCAGTGAGAGAATGGGAGAATTCTTATTTGGTACCAGCGAAATAAATTTCTGTCCACAGGGCACAGGCATTGAGAGGAAAATAACTTATATGAAACCAAGGGCTGTAACAGCCTAATTTTGTTCTCTGGACCCAGGTAAATTTCATCCTAACACAATAAATAAATACATAATATAAAGTGCAGTGCTATTTCCTGATTCATGATCTTGTTAGACTCCAAATAAACATATATCATGCTGGAATTGTAATAACACAGGCTTAGTACCTATAGAGGGAATTTCATCCAGCTACTAAATATGAAGAAAATGTACCAAAAAGGAATGATTTAGAGGAGAATGAAATTCTCCTTTAGACTCAGGGGTGATTCTGCTGTGTTTTCCTCTGGAAGATGGTCCTTCTCATGTACAGACTTTTTTACATATTTTCTTTTTGAGTGAAAGAAAAAGAAGGAAAAAATCCTACAAATTTCAGGTATTTAACTATATAGTATCATTATGCTATAAGCTGAAAAACAACTTTAAAAATTACAAATTTCAGCAAAATAATTTAAT